GGGGAGCGGGAGAGGAGGGGAGGGGAGGGGAGGGAGGGGAGGGAGGGGAGGGGAAGGGAAGGGGAGAGGGGAGGAAGTGGTGAGGAGGGGAGGGAAGGGGAGGAGAGGGGAGGGGGAAGGACCCGCGATCGGACACCGTCCTTCCCCGGACTCCCGATCCAGCCCGTCCTTGACGGTCTCCGTCTTGCCGGTACCAGCGGGCCCCTCCGGGGCAGCGCCGTAGAGGAGGTGCAGGGCCCCGCAGCACGTCCGGTAGCAGCGGTCCGTGAGCGGGGTGATGACCTTAGTCGGGCAATCCTCCTCCTCCTCCTCCTCCTCCTCCTCCTCCTCCTCCTCCTCCTCCTCCTTACCTCCTCCTCCTCCTCCTCCTCCCTCCTCCTCCTCCTCCTCCGCCCTTACCTCCTCCTCCTCCTCCTCCTCCTCCTCCTCTCCGCCTTACCTCTTCCTCCTCCTCCTCCTTCTTCTCCTCCTCCTCCTCCGCCATCCTCCTCCGCCCTTACCTCCTCCTCCTCCTCCTCCTCCTCCTCCTCCTCCTCCTCAGCAGGGCTGCCTGCTCTCCTGAGCTTGGGCCTCGACGCGAACCACCTGGAGCCCACCCACGAGAGAAAAGAGCCGGCCCACGGCGCGGGGTCCGTGCGCAAGGGGTGGCCGCGGGCGGGGAGCATTGGCCACGTCCACAGCGTCGCGGTGCAGACTTCTCGGCCACAACCCCATAGGCAGGGGGCGGCCTTGCGCGGATGCCCCGCGCTTGTATCTGTGGGATCGCGTCCCGGAGTCCAGGCCGCGAGGGCAAGGGCACGGGCACGGACATGCTCGTCGCTGGCGCGCCGGGGCCGAGAGGTCCAGGGGCCCTGCGCATCTCAGAGGCTCGGGGCGTTGGAGGCCCGGGTGCAGCTCGGGCGAGCATGATGTCATGACACGGCTGGCTCGGGATACGCTCTGGGAGTTCCGTAGTACGGCTGGTCCGCGTCGCGATGTCACGGGCGTTGGTTTCTGACGCCGCGTGGGTCGTCCAACCTTGCACGATCGCGGCTCTCCGGTAGCGCAGGTCGCTCGACATCGGTCGATACTGGGCCCCCGGGCGGCGTTCAACCTTGAACGCCAACGCTGGGGCCGCCGCCGCGTCAACGCGGCGCGAACCTGTCGTATCTGCGGTAGGAAAACTGGGAATTCCTGAAAATCCTGGAGCATATAATAATCATGACGTCCCTGGTCCTCTGAACAGCCCGGGGCCACCGCAGAAAGAGCAGGCCCTGCGAGGGCATCTGCGCGCCAGCAGCACGAGGCCCGCGGGTTCGGACCCCAGGACCAGCTCCGTCATCCGTCGTCCTGTGACCTTTGGCTGTTCACGCTTTCGCCTCGCAAGGGCTAGCGGGCGAAAAATGGTATGAAACAAACTTGTCCCCTCTCGGGGGCACCTGTCTCAGGGCGGATGGAATGTTATATCCTTACGGTGGCAGGTGGGAAGAGAAACTTTCCAGCCGCCCTGGGGTAGGCGCCTCCGATCGCGAAAACCTATACATGTAGTTATATATAGATAGAGAGACGAAATCAGATAAGCCTACGTACATACATACATATATACATGCATGCATGCATACATACATACATGCATGCATGCGTGCATGCATGCATACATGCCTACCTACCTACCTACCTACCTACCTACCTACCGACCTACCTATCTACCTACCTACCTACCTACCTACATGCCTACATACACACACAGACATACAGACATACATACATACATACATGCATGCATGCATACATACATACATACATACATACATGCATACATGCATGCATGCATACATACATACATACACGCATACACGCATACACGCATACACGCATACACACATACACACATACGCACACACACATACACACACATACACACATACATACATACATACATGCATACATACATACCTACCTACATACATACATACATACATACATACATACATACATACATACAGACAGACAGACAGACAGACAGACAGACAGACAGACAGACAGACAGACAGTCCGACAGTCAGACAGACAGACAGACAGACAGACAGACAGGCACGCATGCACGCATGCATGCATACATCCATACATGCGTACACACATATCTACATATTACATACATGCATTTCTACATACACACATCCATAAATGCATGCATGCATGCATGTATGCATACACACATATATACATACATACATGCATACACACATACATGTGTGCATGTATACATACATACATACATACATGCATGCATGCATACATACATACATACATACATACATACATACATACATACATATGTCATACATTACATTACATTACATTACATTACATCACATTACATTACATTACATTACATACATACATACATGCATGCATGCATGCATGTATGCATACATCCATACATACATACATACATACATACATACATACATGCATGCATACATACATACATGCATGCGTGCATGCATGCATGCATATATACATACATACATACATACATACATACATACATACATACATACATACATACATACATATATACATACATACATAGATACATACATGCATACCGACAGACAGACAGACATACACACACTCGAATCATCGCCCGCGTTTCGCGCGCGCGATGGTTCCGAATTTATAGGAGCCTAGCGTATAACGCACAAGAGGGACTGCGACGAGGGAGTCTCTTGGAAGCCTCTTGGGAGCCTCTTGGTGGCCTGTCGAGGCCGTACTGAGGCCGTCTGGAGCTGTCCCGGGCCGTCTGGGCCCGTCTTGGCGGCCTGGAGGCTGTCTCGAAGCCATCTTCAGCCGTCTCGGAGCCATCTTGAGGGGTCCGGGGGCCCCAGTCCACCGTCTTCGGTCTCTCTGGCTCTGGGGCTCCTCCACGGCCACTCCAGGACCACCTGAGACCTCAGAGGCCCCTCGGGAGCGAAAAGGCGAGATCTTCCAAAATCAATGGCTTCCCGTAAGTGTACCAAGAAAAGGTGTCGGCCTCCTGGGGGCCACTGTGAAGCCTCTTGGGGGCCTGTAGGGGCCTTCTTCGGGCCATCTTGGGGCCATCTTGGGCCATCTTGGCGCCCTCGAGGGCTGTTTTGAGGCTATCTAGAGCCGTCTCGGGGCGGTCTTGGGAGGTCCCTGAGCGCTCATGGGGACGTCCTGGGTGCCTGAGGGGTTCCTCTTGGGGCTCTCTAGGGCGTTTTGGATCCAAAAGCATCCGGGGCCCATCGGCAGGGATAGTTTTTCACCTCATGGGGGGGAGGCGTGTTACCTGGGGAGGGTGGGCGGGGGGGTAACGGCAACGGGGCAACGGCGGCCGCGGCGCGCACCCGCCAGGGTGAGCCCGAGCCACCAGCACATCAATCGCCTGTGCGCACCACCATCCCTGTGTACACGACAATGCCCAACGCCTGCGTGCCAGCCCCTGTGTACAAGACAATGCACAATGCCTGCGTGCAACACAGCGCCGCTTGCGAACACCGCAGCGCCTCCGTACACCAACCACAGCAGCCGCGCGCACCACAGCATCACATCGCTTGTGCACACCGCAGCGCCTGTGCACACTGACTGCAGCAGTCTCGTGCGCAACAGCGCCTGTGTACACCACAGTGCCTGCGTGCACCAAAATGCATGTGTACAGAACAATACAGCACAACGCCTGCGTACACCACAGCAACCATGTGTACCACAGCGCCTGTGCACACCACAAAGCCTCCGTGCACCACAACGCCTGTGTGTACACCACAACCCCAAACGTGCCAGCGGGCGCATGTGAGCGGGCGCACGCGAGCGCCAGAGTGCGCCGGGGGCCTGCTGCGAACCAGCGGCACGACCAAGGCGCGAAGAACGCGCTACAATGGAACAGTCAGGTCCCGAGGGAAACGGGCCCTGGGGCACCAGCAGAACGAATTCGCCAGCCTGAATTGTTTTCTGACGGTCCCAGGGCCCGCCCAGAAAAGTAAATGGAGGCGGGAGGTGGGGAAGGTAGGAGGACGTGGGGCGTCGGCTGTACGGTAGGTCCGTGTCGCGACGCCTGGGAAATTCGTGTCTAACACCGCTTGGATCGTTAACTCCTAAACGATTCGCGCAAGCGGAAGGTACCGGCCCAGTACTGAACCATGCTTTCGCACCGCGGGTTCCTTTCTGAGAACCCTGGAGCCCGAGAGGCCCCCCTCCCGGGCGCGTGCCGCGCCTCTTCTGCGCCAGCGAACTGTCTGCGGCCAGGGGCAACAGCGGACGACAACGAGCCCCCGCAGGCCCCCCCCCCCAGTGGGGCCACCAAGCTGTGAATACACTGTTGTCTGGCCCCCTCCCCCTTCCCACCTCCTACTCCCCCTCCGCCTCCTCGTCGTCCTGCCCCTCCTCCTCTGATATCAGTCTGCTGCACCGCAACGCTGGCGTGCAGCACAACGCCTGTGTAGACCACATCAGCCGCGTGCACCACAGCGCCTGTGTACACCACGGCGCTTCCGTGCATCACAACGCCTGTGAACACCGCCGCGCCTGTGCACACTACCAGCAGCCATGTGCACCGCAACGTTAGCGTACGCCACATTGCCTGCGTGCACCACAGCGCCCGTGCACACCGCAGCGCACTGGCCCTGCGTGCGCGTTGATGCCTGTGTGCGCCAGAGCGCCTGCATACTGTACTCCTTGCAATGTCCTCTGGAAACTGCAAAAAAAATCACGCTTGCGCCCGGCTCGCAAGCGTTACCGTTACGGGAAGGGGGGGTCTGGGGAGGTGAGGAGTCTCTTCTCTGGCCGCAGCCGGGACACTCGGAGCACCTGGGACACCTGGAGCACCCGGAGCACCCAGAACATCCAGAGCACCCGGACCACCCAGAGCAGCCGGAGCACCTGGAGCACCAGGAGCACCCGGAACACCAGGAGCACCCGGGCCACCCACCAGAGCACCCGGAGCACCTGGAGCACCCAGAGCACCCTGAGCACGAGGCCCACCCGTGCCACCCAGAACACCCAGAACACCCAGAGCAACCAGGACACCGGGAACACCCGGAGCACCCGGAGCACCCAAACACCCGGAGCATCCAGAGCACCCGGAGCCAGAGCACGGGGATCCCCAGAGCACCCATGCAAGGCACCTGGAACACCCGGATCAGCTGGGACTTGGAATGGGTGAACAAGGAATGCTCGCTTGGGTGAAGAGAGCAAGCAGAAGTGAGATGCGCCCATTTTCGAAGAGTCGTTCGCTGGAACGCAGTTCAATTGGCTCAGCGCCCTTGGGTGGAGGACGGAAAGAAGGGGAAGTACTGTTATAGCAGTTTGACGGCACGTCTGGGTGAGGGTGTGTGGGGGGACTGGGGGCGCGCCAAATGTGGAATAAGGCATGGACTTCGTTCGCTGGGCAGCCCTGCCTGCTCTGGTGCTCCGGCCAGCTGACCCGGTGATCTGGCTGATACGGGTGATCTGGGCGAGCCGCCGCGGGGGGAAACGATGCGGGTGGTTGTACGCCTGCACTCCAGAAGGGTACATCCTCCACCTGAGAGAATACGTGGGCTCCGAAAGCTTACCGCAACGATATTTTTTCCTGGCTGAGCTGGTAGAGAAATTCCCCGCCATCAATGCGGTCAGGCATGATGATGCTTGTCATTTGCGGATGTACACGTCAAAGCGCGAGGAGGACGGCCCATTGGCTGACAGGCTGGCGTACCCAAAGGTGCAGTAGATCACGGACGGACTAAAAGACAAGAACCACGTCGACCCGTGGTGCGTGGCGAACTGCTCAACCAAGGCAGAGTGCAACTAGACGTGCATGGAGGGGCGCAACAGCCAAGCGTGCGAGCAGCTGTTTGGACGGATAGGGAGGCACAAGTTCGTCGCTCGTGCCATGAACCGCTTGACTGGCGCATTCTTCTTGCATGAGATGGCCTCTGTGGTCAACGCAGGGTGGTTGTGCAAGAAGGAGAGGGAGCGCGCGGCGGCCGCGCTTGGGCCTGCGGGGGCGCCTGTCGGTCCAGATCAATAGGTAAATCGACGCAGAGATGCTCCCGACACGTGTTCGGGGTGCCTGCGCGATTGCTTCTCGCATCCACGAGGGGGCGAGGTTTGTCTTTGGCCGGCAGTTGCACCGACGCATTTGCGCGCTGGGCCGCGTCGCGAAGGCGCAGCTCGAGCGCTCGCCTCGCGAGCAGTGCAATCGCCTGCGATGCCTTTGCATTCGCCTCGCGCGTCGGTCCGCCAGCTCGGCTGGCCCAGCCCGTCGCCTCCTGGATGCTGCCTGCGAGCTCGCGCAGATGTATCATTGACAGCGTGCGAAAAGCGATCCCCATGTCCGCCCTCGTTGCCACAGCGGTGAAGTCGTCGTCTTGCTCCTCCTCCACCTCCTCTCCTCCTCCTCCTCCTCCTCCTCCTCCTCCTCCTCCTCCTCCTCCTCCTCCTCCCTCCCTCCCTCCCTCCCTCCCTCCCCCTCCCTCCTTTCCTTCCCTTCTCCTCCTCCTCCTCCTCCTCCTCCTCCTCCTCCTCCTCCTCCTCCTCCTCCTCCTCCTCCTCCTCCTACTCTTCCAAGCCCCCTCCGCAAACGTATGAACGCAGAGCCCCTCCTCCTCTTCCTTCTCCGGTTACTCCTCATCCTCCTCGCATTCTCGCTCTCGCTGCAGGGCGCACCCGAAGCACGCACCGGGAGCACGAGGCCCACCCGGAGCACCTGGAGCACCCAGAGCACCCGGAGCACCCGGAGCACCCAGAGCACCCAGAGCATCCGGAGCAGCCAGAGCACTCGGAGCACGAGGCCCACCGTGCCACTCACCGGGAACACCCAGAACACCCGGAGCACCCGGAGCACCCGGAGCACCCGCAACACCCGGGCCCGGAACACCCGGAGACACCCGGAACACCCGGACCCGGAGCACCTGGGACACCCAGGAACGTGCGCGGCCGCAGGGAGGACTGGTATGGGGGGGGTAACACGCGTTACCCCCAGGCTACTACAAGAACAATCCCCAGTGAAAAGGCAAGTTCTTCAAAAGTGCATGACCCTTCGGTTTTGAAAAATGCTGGCCCCTCGGAAACAATTTTGACCGCGTCCTGGGGCCTCTTCGGGGCCTCTTGGGAACCAGTTGTGGACCTCTTGGAAGCCTCTTGTGGGCCTCTTGGGGGTCTCTTGGGGGTCTGATGGCGGCATCGGGGACCCTCTGGGGTCGGAGGGATCCAAATGTCAGTTGGAATTCACCATTGTGGGTCCACCCGGTTGGGCCGTCTTGGGCGCCACTTGGGTCGTCTTTGAACCTTCTTGGGCCGTCTTGGGGCCCTCTTGGGGACGTCTTGGGCCGTCTTGGGGCTGGAGGCCGCCTTGGGGGCGACACGGAGTCTCATGGAGCCGCCTCGACGGCGGCCTGCGCGCTGCTGAAGCGGTTCTGGGGCCCCCGAGGAGCTGGCCGGCCCCCCGGCACCCACACGTGTGGTACAGGTTCTTGTCCCAGGCCCCCCCAGCCCGATCCCCTTGTACGCGCGCACTGAATTAGTCACACAACTATACACGTGTTTTAATATATGAGCACATGTATATGAATGTCTGCGCATGTATATATGTATGTGTGTTGTATGTGTATGTGTGTATGTGTGTATGCATGGATGTGTGTATGAATGGATGGATGGATGGATGGATGGATGGATCGATGTGTGCATGTGTGTATGTGTATGTGTGTATGTATGTCTGGATGTATGGGTGTATGGATGTGTGGATGCGTGTATGCATATGTGTACATGTGCTTGCATGTATGTGTGCTTGTATGTATGTATGCATGTATGTGTATACACGTATGTATGTATAGATGTGTGTTTAAATATGTCTACATCCATACCATATATTGTATGTGGATATAGACACAATAATAAATACATGTTATGTGCCTAAGCATATACAAATGTACATGCCTATACAGAAACATATGCATCTGCGTATGCATATGCATAAACATATGCATGAACGCAACCAGAAGCATATGCATAAACGAATGCATATACATAGACACGTACATATACATATACATGAGTGTATATACCGTACCCCCAAACACACACTCACACACAGGGACCGACCTTACCTCATCCTATATGCGTGTTATCCTCATCTACGTTGCTGTCTCCTCGACCACGATTCTTTCGGTTTGTTGGGGACTCGCGGGGATTATGAATTTCCCGTTGGGCTTGACTGGTTTCATCAATGTCAGTCACAGGTTTCTAATTGCTAGTGGCTCCAATTGGTCACTATCGATTCCTACTGGTTACTACTGGTTCCTTCTGATTCCTGTTAAATAATCTTGATGTGTACTGAATCCTATTGGTTCAAATTTCTTCATATTGATTCCTCTTGATTAATTTGTTTCCTATCGATTCCAATCGGTTCCTATGAACTCCGATTGATTTCTACTGACTCCTATTGACTCCTAATGGTCCCGAGCAATTCCTAGCGATTCATAATCATTCCTAGCGATTCGTATTGATTGCTAGTGCTTCCCACTGATTCCTGTTGATTCCGATTGATTCCTACTGAGTCCGAGTGATTCCGATTGATTCCCACCGATTCGTATGTTTCCTGATTGCTTGAAGAAGGGCGAGAGAGAGAGATAGCGAAAGCAAGAGACAGGGGTTGAGGGGTGGAGGAGGAATAGGCCATTTCCTTCGCGCGAATGTTTGGGTGTTTGAGAAGAGTCCCAAGGATTGTTTGTTTCCCGTTGGACTTCGTCGGTTTTTCAATGACAGCCCCCAAAACAAGGTGAGTCTACTAAGAAACAATGCTCAAAGGCCTTCAGGATCCGAGGCGGGGGAGCCCGGCAGGAGTCCGGCCCTCTCTCCCCCTGCCCGCCCGCCTCGGATCCGGAAAACGTTTGATTTTGGGTTCTCTCTGTGGTCTCACAGACTATGTTTTGTTTGGTTGGTTGATGTGGTAATGTCACAGGTTCCACGGCCCAGCATCCTGGAAACCTGGCACTGTCATTCAAAACCAACCACATGCAACGGGAGACCAATCATCCGAGTGACTCTCTCTCTCTCTCTCTCTCTCTCTCACAAACCAAAAAAAAAAAATAAAAAAAAAAAAAAAAAAAAAAAAAAAAAAAAAAAAAAAAAAAAAAAAAAAAAAAAAAAAAACGCTTCGCGAGAAGGAAATGGCCCCCTCCTCTGTCTCTCGCTCGCTCGCTCGCTCTCTCTCTCTCTCTCTTTTGTTCTCTCTCTCTCTCTCTCTCTCTCTCTCTCTCTCTCTCTATATATATATTTCTCTCTCTCTCTCTCTTTCGCTCTTTCTCTCTCTCTCTCTCTCTCTCTCTCTTTCCTTCTAGCAGTAAGAATAATAGGAATCGGTGGGAATCAATAGGAATCGATAGTAGTCAGTAGGAATCAATAGGAATCAATACGAATCAATAGGAATCATAAGGCATTAATAGGAATCGATAGGAAGGACTAAGAATCACGAGGAATCATTTGGAAACATCAGGAATCAAACTCATCCTTCGGAACCCATAGGAATCGATACGAATCAGTAGAAGGTAACAGGAACCAATAGGAATCAGTAAGACCCCATCGGAATACATAAAAACCACTAGAAAACACCAAGAATCAATAGGAATCAATAGGGATCACTTGTACTGAAAATGATGCAATCGGACTGGACCGGCATTAGTAAGAATCATCTGGAATCAATAAGAATCAATGGGAATCAATAGGAATCCACCAGGAATCTCTCTCTCTCTCTCTCCCCCTCTACGTTACACTCTACATCAACATCTACATCAATACCGAAATCACCGAGGTGCTGTGAGTTGCTTTAGCTTGGCTGTCAAACGTTTTTTTCTTCGCGCGATCTGTTGCGAGCGGCGCAGCATACGCTGGAAAATCAATCCTTCCTCCCTCCCCAGGTTTTTGTCTGCCCTGGGTTCTGGGGCTCAAACGCATCCACTGCCAGTCAATCCAATCATCGTGCCGCCACCACGCCATCGCATGTTCTAGGTTACATGGCCCGCAAAGGATCATCTCATCATTGATTTCGCTTGGGTTATATTGAATTCATGTAGAATATGACTCGAATGCGTGAAGAATCCCTTGGCTCTGGCATCTGCTCCTTTCTTATTCGGAGTGCATTGCAATTCAAATCGAGCAAAGACCTTCTCCATATGGGATATGTCCCGTTCCTGTTGGAAGATTGATCGAATCCTGCTCGGGTGCAAATGGAAATTTCAGCAGCGGGGAGCTTCCAGCGCGACAGCACAAAACAAGTAGATCCCTGTCGGGGAGGGGGGGTAGCATGTGCGTATGTATATATATATATATATCGACATTCACACACACATATACATACAGACAGACAGACAGACAGACAGACAGACAGACAGACAGACAGACAGGCAGGCAGGCAGACAGACAGACAGACAGACATATGATATATATGTATATATATACATACACGAAGTTGCACCGTTCGCCGCCCGCTGCAAGAAGCTCTTTCCCGGGGCGCTGCGAGACATCCCAAGCGGCTCCTGAGGCCTGAGCAACGGCCAGAAGTTCCGGGGGTCGACACAGTATTGTACGATCGGGCCGCGATCACATGTCGCTCGATTGCAGAACCGAGCACGTCCCGATCCCGTGCCCCGGTCACGGCCGTGATCACTATGTTTACCACGTCAATCGCAGGCCGATCAAGTCGAGCATGCCAGCAGAACCTAAGACACGGTTGACGACCGCTCGATCGGCACTTCCTGCGAGCGTGATCGTGCAATTGGTAGACATCTGGGTGACGGCCAGGCGGCTGTCGTTGCCGAGGTACTCGTACGCGTAGCCTAAGAAGCTGTTGGTGATCCTGACAAACATGTCATCGACCCCAGGTTTGTCTGGGTTCTCCTCGATGTAATACCGCAACTGCACAAGCCAATCCGCGGACCATCGCAGGTCGCAGGGCATGCTGGGACCCTGCACAGTGAAAATCGAACACGCACCATGTATACTGTAACATGCATGTCGGCCAATAGGAGTAAGCATGGTGGCACGTAAAAAGCAGATGTGCGAAGATAACATATTCGCAGATGTATGCACTGTGATGCGCACACGTAGAGAACTACATCCGCATCCTCCTCAAGGAAGGCGGGAACCATGCACTGGCTTGTCGTTTAGATGACCACATGGCACTGCCCCGCACGTGTGTTCTGCTTGTTGCTGCGTCGACGGGGACCAGCACAATAGCTTGCACATGTGTTTCTTACTCTAGAAGGGGGCACCAGGCCGTGCACTGTACAGGCTTTGACAGTCTGCTCTTGTTGCGAGGCCCACCGACCACTGCCCTGCACGTGCATGCGCTGCTCGCTCTGGAAAGCCAGCGAGCGCTCCTCTGCACATGCGCATGACTTGCAACGAGAAAGCACTGCCCTGCACATGCTCATCCTCAGTTCTGCTCGGCTGCCCACCCAGCACTGCCCTGCACGGTGAGGGGAATGGCGGGGCGAAATCGCGTGAGGAAGCGAGGTGCGGTGAGACGATGCGAGGTCTGGTGATCTTGGGAGGAGAGGGGATTGTGGAGTATGCGGTCTGCCAACCGAAACGTGAGGGAGGAAGGAGGAGGAGGAGGAGGAAGAGGAGGACGGATCTCCGTATGATGGATGACGTTTGCAATTTGATTCCTTTTTGTGAGGCGATCTTGGAGGCCTCTGGGCAAGCCGCCGAGATCATGAAACTGCTTCCAGACAGCTCGAGCCGGGGGCGCGCAGGCATGGACTTGCGATCCATGGAATTGGCGCGCGGTCGCCACATCCATGGATCGGGGTGCCCTCCCCAAAATGCGGCCGGTGCCGCCTCGCTCGGCGGTGGAAATCCGCGATTTCCCACGGAACCGGGACCCGTCGCCAAGCCACGCCCTCTTGATCCATGTTAGCGATCGCCTGCTCGAGGGCTCCCCAGGAGACCCCAGGGTGTCCCCCAGCAGCCCCTCAGTGTCCTGGGGGGGGACCTCCGCCGGCCCAGCCCCGCAGGCCCCCGAGAAGCACGTGCCCACCGTGCTCCGGGGACGGGCTTCCAGGGCACCGCGGCGGCACCAGGAGGCGCAGCCGCTGCGAGAGACAGCAAAAGACGGTGAGGTCACTGGATATGCAACCCTTCGATAAGGAATCCAGGCCTGGAAGCCAGTGGAGCTCCAATCCTGGATGGGCCAAAGATACTACCGCCGCCCACATGACACAAGGAACCCTCCAAGGTCTGCAGCCTCCCCGGCACAGGTCCTTGACGAACGCCCCCACCGTACAAGACATCCAGGGGGCACTGTACATCTTCCAGCCGTTGTAGAGTTCGTGGGATGCTCAGAAATCCGCAGCGAAAGAACCTGCAGCGAGGTATCTGCCCGGACTGCAGACTTGTGTCACTCCTCGCGCGGGCGGAGCGCGGGAGGGTGCGCGGGAGGCCGATCGTTGAACGAATCGGGTCATGTTCCAGCCACTCCCCTGAGGAGCCCGAGACGAGCCTCCGCATCCCCCGAACGGCTCCGGGATGCCTCGCCCCCCGGGAGGCCCCCGGAACCGCATCGGCGGCCCTCAAAGCAACCTTGATGAGCCTCAGGGCGGCGGCCCAGAGGGGTTTGAAGTGTCACCCCGGGAAGCCCAAGGTTGCCCAGTGCGGCGGTGAAAGGCCCTGTGGAAGCCCCGAAGGCAGCGCCTCGAGCTCCCTTTTCAAGACCAAACTCAAACTGTTCCGAAAAGAGGGGGCGCGAACGCCAGACCTCGCCACGGCGTGACAACGAAGAGCGGCAGGCAAACCGAGAGCGCCGCACGAGCCAACCTGCAATGAGCGAGCTCACGCACCCCTGGACTAGAAGGCGAGGTGAGCAGCATAGGTGGAACATGGGCAAGCAGGCGGAGGGAACGCTGGAGGGAAACTCTTTCCACGGTTCCGATGGCTGTATGGTCCAGGCGAGTTGGAAGTGGAAGTAATCCCATCAGCCCTCTGGGCGTGATTTGTTTAGAGCGTTTCCTCTTCCATCTTCCCTCCGTTTCTTCGGGGAGGGGTTTACCCCTCACCCCTTACCCCCTCCCCCTGGACCTAGACGGAGCGTCCAAGACGGCCTCGGCGAAGAAGCCAGAATCATTGTTTCTATGGTTTTGGCAACGCGTCGGGCTCCTGGGAGGGGGGCTAATTTAGTACGGCCCCTGCTTTGATCGATCTCCTCGAGGATCGCCCCAAGATGGCCACCGAGGCTTCCAAGGGTGCCCCAAGATCGCCCCAAGGAGGCCCCAAGAGGCCCCCAAGAGGGCCTTAGGATGCCCGCAAGAGGCTCCCGAGAGACCCTGAAGACGCTTCAAGAGGCCACACAGAGGTACCCAAGACGCCTGAAGAGGCCTCGGCGAGAAGGCCAAAATCACTGATGTTACTCAGGTTTGGGGCACATGTTGGCCTCCTGGGGGGGAACCCAAGTAAGGAGCCCCCTCATTTGATCGATCTCCTCCAAGATGGTCCCAAGATGGCCCCCGAGGCCCCAAGGCTCTCAAGTATGCCCCAAGACGGCCTCAAGAGGTGCCCAAGAGGCCCCCAAGAAAGCCCCAAGATCCCCCCAAGATGCTGCCAAGAGACTCCCAAGAGGCCTCAAGAGGCCTCCCAGAGGCACCCAAGACGCCCCAAGACGGCCCCCAAGAGGTGTCCAGGAGGCCCCAAGAGGCCCCCAAGAGGCCTCCAAGATGCCTCCAAGATGCCTCCAAGAGGCCCTTACGAGACTCCCAAGACACCCCCAAGAGGCCCAAAGAGGCTCCCCCGAGGCACCCAAGATGCTTCGAGAGGCCCCCAGGACCGCCACGAGGCCCCGAAGAGGCCTACAACAAGCTTTTATCAAGAGGCATCCGAAACAACTCCTAGGGGCATCCAAGAGGCCTCTGGCCTTTCCTGCTCGCCCTCCTCCTCCTCCTCCTCATCCTCCTCCTCCTCCTCCTCCTCCTCCTCCTCCTGCTGATCCTCATCCCGATTCTCATCCTGATCCTCATCCTCCTCCTCCTCCTCCTCGTCCTCCTCCTCCTCCCCTCCTTTCCTCCTCGATCATCATCATCATCATCATCATCATCATCATCATCAGCATCAGCATCAGCATCATCATCATCATCATCATCATCATCATCATCATCATCATCATCCATCATCATCATCATCATCATCATCCTCATCCTCATCCTCATCCTCATCCTCATCCTCCTCCTCATCTCCATCCTCATCATCCTCCTCATCTCCTCATCCTCCTCCTCCTCCTCCTCCATCATCATCATCATCATCATCATCATCATCATCATCATCATCATCATCATCATCATCAGCATCATCATCATCATCATCATCATCATCATCATCATCATCATCATCATCATCATCATCATCATCATCATCATCATCATCATCATCATCATCATCCGCCTTCTCCTCGTCCTCCCTCCCCTCCCCCTCCCCCTCCTCCTCCCCCTCCTCCTCTGGTTCCTCCTCCATCCTCCCCCTCTTAGGGGTATGACGGCTCCCCAGCCTTTATTACACGACTTGCTCCCCCACATACCTGGTCAGGGCAGCTCGCCTGGACATCGTTTCTGGATGGGCGGGTGGGGTGACGCGAGGCTCTTAGAATTGGAAGTAGGCCAGTGAACAAAAACAATGCCAGCGTAGCATGGATGGGAACGCGATCTGGGCGGAGTTGACTCCCGGAAGACCCGAGTGGCCCACGCGAGGTTCATCGCAGACCTTCGAGGATCACAGGGCACGCCAGCAGATCCCGCAGCGCTTTCCCGTGAGCCAGCACCGCGCCGAAGGCACTGAGCGGAGTACCCTCGGGCCCCTTGGAGTCCTCAACCTTCAGAGCCCTGGACTCCGAACTCACGGGAGCTCCGAGGAGCTTCCAGCCGCTCTCGGGGCTTGGCGCGTGACTGTCCCCAAGACCACGGAACGCGCCGTTGGGACTCCGAAATCTTCACATCGCTTCCAGACGGCGCCAGGGGCCCGTCTTGGGATTTTCTCTGAAATCTCTGAGGCCGTCTTGGGGGCGGGGGAGGGGTAGCCCAAGAGGCCCAAATCGCCCAAACCCCTTACTCAAGCGTTGGCTTGAATCAAACATGCTCGCCTTTCGGTCTCAGCAGCGCCTGAGACAGCGCGTCCAAGATGGCCGCTGCGACCGCCAGCAAGCCCCAAAGGTCCCCCAGGAGGCTGTACAAGAACCCCGAGAAGCCCCGAAGAGGCCTTCAAAGAGGCCCCAAAAAGGCTCCGAAGATTCCCCAAGAAGGGTCCCCGAAAGGCCTCCGGTCCGACACCCTGGCACGGTGGTGGGGCACATCGCCGGTACGAGCGCTCGTTCGACTCTTGCTTGTCTTCCCGACTGCACACTCTGCTCGCCAGCACGAGCTTTAGGTCGGGCATGTCCTCCTTCAGGCGGATTCTGAACCAACGGTTAAAAATGACAGCAACAACAACAACAACAACAACAACAACAACAACAACAACAACAACAACAACAACAAATCTTCAACAGTACTCCAAAAATACTATTTTGACTAGTTTGGAAAAAATTAAATTATTTTTGACTATTCCTATTTTTGACTATTTTTGAGAAATCGTCCCCAGACTATTTTTGACTATTTTTGAATATTCCTCCTGTAGGGGGACACGCCCGACGCCACACGAGCTCCCTGCGACAGCGTCCCCGAGGGGCGCGAGGGCTCGGGAGGCGCTGGCCCTCCCAGCCCCCCCTATGGAAGTCTGGGCGGGATCCCACTCGGGCGAAGCACTCTTGGAACACAGAGCTAGTTACCTAGAGATCCAACGTATCGGAAAAATCAAGTCGGCGTTTTTTCTCAATTTTCGGCCTCTAGGGGCCCTCGCCGGGCCGCGGGACCATCAAAAAACGACTCAGGATGAAAAACCGGTGCCGGGGAATGGGTCGAGACTTCCAGGGACCCTGTAGAAAAAAACACGACATCGGATCTCTAGGTAGAAAGCACATATCCCATCTTAAAAAGACAGGGTGTTAAGGAATATCCGGCGGGATACAGATCCCACCGTCTTCTGACTGCGTCCTGGCGCTGTGACGGGATCACCTCGAGAGCATGTCTGGACCATTTGCATGTGTGGGGGCCATGGAGTTGCGTTCTAGATCTGATTCGGCCACTTTGAGGCCGCCTTGGGGCCATCGAGTGGCCATTGGAACATCTCGGGGCCACTCGCTGCTTGTAGATTTGGCCACCTTGGGGATTGCCCCGCGGCCAGCTGGAAGCCGCGTCGAGATCATGCGCGGAACATCGGTCCCTCTTGGGGGTCGCCCTGAGGGTATTGTCCGGTCGCTTCGAGGCCATCTTGTAAACGCACCGGGGTCGTGGAGCCGCCTTGGCATCGTTTTGCATCGGAGGAGGAGGAGGAGGAGGAGGAGGTAGGTCGAAGGCCATTCAATACGACTGCAAGTTCTACACCCGATAGCCTTCGAGGCAGTGTCCTCCAGGGCACGACTTCCAAACGACCCCACCCTCCCCAGATGCGAGGCAGGCGGCGCTGTGCCACAAGGCATCCCCAATCGAAGTCCTGAGCTTGAGAAGTGCCCCTGTCTCTAAGGTCGCAGATCGTGTCCTTATTGTGTACGAAGATCACAATCAACGCCTCCAGCGTACACCGCACGATCGGCGGGACCTCGCCTCGGACCACATCTACGATGTCGGTCAGCACCTTCTTGAGTTTGTCCGCGTACTTTGCCAGACCAGCGTTGCCCTCTGTGACCAGGGCATCATTGGTCTCCGCCGTCCAGAAGAGGTTGAAGATGCCAATGACGACCTGCCCTGGCCATTTCTGCACCCAGTCCTTGAAGGGGGTGACGGCGTAGTCGTCGCGCGCCTTGAAGCTGATGTCCCTCAGAGATTCGATCATTGCCTCCTCCAGCTGCACCAGCCAAACCTCCACGGCGCCCTTGGCCGCCACGGGGTCCACGGCGTTGGTCAGAGGAACGTGCTCCTTCTGCGGAGAGATCATCTGAGAGATCTTCATGTCGTCCTCAAACTTCAGGGCCTGGATGCCCTCGAATGCCTTTTTGATGTGAGCGTTGACCCGCCGCGGATCCTTTGTCTCGCTCAAGATTTCGAGAAGGTTGTCGTTGGACAAAAAGAAGAAGCGTGGGAAGAACAAACGCTTCGTCTCCAGATAATCATTGAGCCGCTTTTGGACTGTCTCCAGCTTCTCATTTGCAATCTCCAAGCTCTGCAAGAATCCTTGCTGTCGGAAGACAGTCAGCGATGCTGGCTGTTCGACGCAATTCCCCATGAGCTGCCGCCAAAGTCCGTCAACCTCGCGGAAAAGCGTGCCCTCGACTGGCATTTGCTGCATGATGTCTTCGGAAGAGAAAATGGGCTCGAGGTACAGCCAAACGGACTGTACCTTGAGCCAGACGTCGATAATGTCTTGCACAGTCTTCAGGAACGTCTCCCATTCCTCTATCCTGGCAGCGAACTGAGTGGCGTAGGGAGACCCCTTCATGGTCTGAGTCTTGATGACATGGTCATCCAGCAGCGTCTGAACCTCGTCCACCGAACCCCCGCCAACAATGTACGTGCCAGTGGTGCTCCACTCCTTGAACTCCATGTTCACCGGCTCCCACTCCTTCTGCTGAGTGTTGAGGCTGCTCTCGATCTGGTACTCCTTGCCCGCCGAGTCCGCGATTTCGCCGATCTCCTGGACGTACGCCCCAATATCCATGTCGATCATCTTCTGAAGGTTGAAAGAAGTGTCAGGCTCCAGGGCGAAACCGACGATGGAGGATATCTCTTTCCAGTGCCTCTCGCGCAGGCCTGGATTGCAGAGCGCGTGGAGAAGGGGCACATGCTCCTTAAACTGGTCGAGGTCTGTCTTCACCTTGTCCGCCACCTTGGCCGGCTTCGGGTGGCCGTCCTGGTCGAACTGGGCCTTGAGCTTCATTGCGGTGCGCCACATCGCCTGGACCTCGCTTTGGATCTGCTCTGGGTCCATGTCGCCAGAGAAGAGGGGATTCTTGAGCCATTTGGCGTTGGCTTTCTGGTGATCCGCGACCATGGTCCAGAGCTTCATGTAGGGCTCGAGCCCATTGGTCGCCTCGTCGAACAGGTCGAAGTCGGTCTCGTCCCAGCCCAACAGGATCTCCTTCTCGTGGATATCGTTCATTGTCTTCTCCGCCTCCCCAAGCGCTTTCTTGATCTCGTTCAGCTGTTCCAGGTTGTCCTCTATGTTCCTGATGCTCCCCTTGTCCTTGCACTTGCCCACTTTATTCATGATCACGATAAGGTCCTCTTGGAACTTCGAGCGCCGCTCTGCAAGCGACGTCTCGATCTTCATCCGGTCGTCGCGCAGCGCGTTTTCCCGATCTAGCAGCTTCACAGCATAGCCCTTCCATTCGGAGGCCGCCGCGATCGCTTTATAGTCTTCCACCTCCAGGGGGTGATCGAGGTCCCAGGTGAGGTACAACCAGGCCTTGATGTCATCGTACTCCTCAAGCAGTTTTGGGAAGTCCTTCTCCTTGGCAGCCTCCACCTGCTCCTCGAGCTCTGTCAGCTGGGCCTCGTTGGTGGGAACTCTGGTAACACGATTGTTGAGGTGGTCGAACTGCTTCACCAGCCTGTTGCTACGCTCCTGGTTCCGCTGCGCCAGGGCATGCAGGAGCCGCTTGACGCAATTGTCCGCGTCCGTTGCCAGCTTCTTGTTCACGTCCGAGGCATCAACCCGCATCATCTGCATCCGGATCTGCGGCGGGCACTGTTCCTTCATCTGCTCGACCGTGCCCCTCAGGTGCGCCACGTACGCCTCGTAATCCTCCCGGGTCTTGGATGGATCCTCCACAAAGCTGGCGACGTTGTCCTCCTCGTGCAGAAGGAACAAGAAAGGAGTGTAGAGCTCTAGGACCTGCTGAGCGTTTGCCAGGTTGTCATGGATTATCTGTTCGATGCGCTGGAAACCAGCCTTGATGTGTTCCTCCTCCTCACGCACCTCCCACAGAAGCGTGCGCCCGCTGACCAGGTCGCGCAGCTTCGAGTCAGGGCGCACGAAGTCCCGCAGGCTGGTGGTGCACTCCTTATACGGCAGGAGCAGCCGAGCACTGACGTGTTCCAGATCGTTCTTGAATCGAATGTCGTTCCTGTCGCCCTTCTGGTCCACGAAGAGCTTATTCACAAGGATCTCGTCCTGCCAGGTGTCTGAGTCTTTCAGCTTCTTCACCTCCTCGTAGTGGAGCGGCTTAGCGGCAAAGCGCTCGAAGAACTGCACGTACTCCTCCAGCGTCTGCTCGATGACCTCGCGCGCCAGCTGCGACAGCAGCGCCGCCACAGCGTCGAAGAACTGCGCCTCCAGCTTTTCCGGAGACGAGCCGGTGGACTCGATGACGCCAGCCTGGGCCGACTGGGGGGGTCCAGCAATGGCCAGGAAGGGGTCGGAAAGGAAGGGCCAGGAAGGGGTCGGAAAGGAACCTGATCCGCCTGATGCTCCTGCTCCTCCTCTTCCTCCTCCTCCTCCTCCTCCTCCTCCTCCTCCTCCTTCTCCTCCTCCTCCTCCTCTTCCTCATCCTCCTCCTCCTCCTCCTCCTCCTCCTCCTCCTCCTCTCCTCCTCCTCCTCCTCCGCCTCCTCCTCCTCCTCCTCCTCCTCCTCCTCCTCCTCCTCCTCCTCCTCCTCCTCCTCCTCCTCCTCCTCCTCCTCCTCCCTCCTGGCGGGGAAATACCAGTCCGTCCCCGGGGGGGAGCTTCTTGGCCTTTTCTTCATCTGCTCGTTTTTTCCTTGCTGGCGCGGGGCACCGCTGCTCTGACCAGGGCGCGGGCGCGACTGGAGCGCCCTCACGGCGGCGCCCCGACCAGCTCCACCAGCGCCGTGCCGCGGGGCGCCTCGGACAGCGGCTTGGCCTGGTGGTTCGCCCGCCCGAAGCCGATCCTTCTCCGCTCCATGTCGAATACGGTGTAGTACTGGCGCAGGAAGGGGTAGCCGAGCACCAGCGCGGGGCCGCCGCTGGAGCCGCTGAAGCTGCCGAGGAGCAGCCTGCAGCCGTCGGCGTCGTGCTCGATGTAGTCTGTCTGGTTGAGCTCCAGGTGGACCCCCTTCACGCTGAAGCCAAGCGAGGGCGCGGAGTTTGCGCAGGCGTCGTCCACCCCGAGCCTGTTCATGACCGCGAACAGCACGTTGCCCGGGGCCATGATCAGCGAGGAACCTGTGTCGATCAATGCGTGGCAACCCGTCTTGCCGCAGAATCCGGTGGCCTTTCCACCGATGACGATGTCGTCGACCTTCACCTGCCAGCTCTCGTTGTGGAGCAGCGGGGCCCACGTGAGCTGCGAGGCCAGGCGGTCCTGCCTGTTGCGAGGCGGGGATTTATCCATATCCACCGCCTGGGAACCGACGTCCTGGTGCCCTAGCGGGCGGTGGTCATGTATAAATTCCCGCCTCGGACCTGTAGCCTCCGAACTGGATCTCGCCGCCATTGCCGGCCGAGGGCGGCGACAAGTAGAACGCGAACATGCCGCCGCTCAGCTCATTGCCGCCCTTCCGGAGCAGCTGCGGGAAGCTGAACTCTGGGGCGTCGGGCGCCGCTGGGGCCAGGCCCAGGACCCCGTCGAACTCGAGCTTCCCGAATGGATCGTCGCTTTCCTCCGTGAGCACCACGAAGTCCGCGGTGGCGCAGAGCCGGTCCTTGTCCTTGTCACCAAGGCAGATTCCGTCGCGCACAAACTCCCCGCTGACGTCAGCGCGAAGCAGCGACAAGCTCTTCGTGTCGCGGTCGTCCCCATCCTGCAGGGGCGTAGCCGGGTCATCTGCCCAGCCGATCTCGACTGCAGACTTGGAGCTGTTCGACGCAAAGCGGTGGTGGCCGCGGCAGGCGCCGTCGTCGCACTTGCTGCTTGGGAGGACCAGCTGGCCGGAGCCCGTGTCGAAGACGACCCGGAAGGGCTGCGGCGGGTCTCCCACGCGCACGGTGCCGTAGTACTGCATCGCGGGCAGCGTCGCGGCCCCGGTGTGGGCGTGGGGCTGCTGCCGCAGCGCGCGCGTGGCCGCGACCAGCGCGGGGAGCGCCACGGCGAGAGCTACGATTGCCGGAACCATCGAGTGCGGAGAGGGGCTCCGAGAACGGGCGGGGGGGGACGCCTCGGGGGGGAGGCAGCAAGCGCTCTTGAGCCAAAATTGTTACGGAGGTGGGAGCTTCTTGGCCCACGGAGGGGGGAGCTCCGTGGCCTTGAGATGGCCATGAGATTTTCCTTGGGTGATGGAGTTTACATCACAGACAACGACGAAGTTGCCAGCGGCCGTGCCACCAGGCAGTTCGAGCACCCTTTCTGGATCTCTCGCGGGCATTTGGCGGGAGATTGGCGTGGTGATGAAGGCTAGCATCGGTTCAGTTGTGGTCCTAAAAGTGTCGTCCTATGCCACATCGTCCGACAAGAGTTTTCGGCGCTAACCCAGCTGGATGACTGCAGGTAACGGGGCCGCAGATGAGATTGCAAAGGAAGCCGCTCGTATTTCCTGGGTTTCACAGCGTGAGAGAGCGAGGCTTCTGGAAGCAGAGGGGAACGCCCGTCTGAAGCGGAGGCGACTATTGAGATCCACATCATCGTCGATGGCAGCGCCCGCCGAAGTTCGCAGGATGGAACAATCGTCCGAGCACCTGCCTGCCCCTGATGCTGCTGTCCAGCCTCCCCCCCAAATTCCGCTGCCGTCGCTCTTCTCGCTTCCGTTCACCAGCTGGACGACGACGGATCGAGCTGCACAAGGTGTCGCTGCTCAGCGACCGCGGCCGCCAGTGCCAATTCGCTGGCCACGGCGTGCGTGGCCCCCGAGGAGGCGGCTGGGGGGGTGCTCAGGCCTCCGCATGGGTTTAGGGTCCACCCTGGGGGGGGGGTCGTTCATAGCTCTCACAAGATGTACATATTTTTCCCCGGGGAATTCTGAGTTGTGCTGCTGTCCAGCTTTTCGATCGGTTCGTCCTTCGGGAGTTGACCAAACCTTGCAACCCGGGCATAATTCTCGAAAGCGGCGTGAGTTCTTGGACCAAATTAACAAGATCCTGCGGCCCAGATATCTGAAAATGCCCCAATAACCCAAGCTTTCGAGTATGACCCCGATTTGGACTTTTCAATCCGCGGCCCCAGAGCTCCCGACCCCTTCCCTGGAGGCAGGTTTGCGACCCCGGCCTGCCTTCGATGGACCCCAGGCCCACTAACAGGCCCAGGAGGCCGAAATCGATGAAAAACGCCGCGATTGAAAGAATCAGATCATATCGTCGAAGGCCTGAGCACGCGCTACAGTCAACCCGTATGATAAGGATGCGCGGTGAGGATGCAATGGGCTTGGGGGGCCATGTTAGCGTTTTTCGGACGAGGTTGGCCAGCGAAAGTCGCTAAGGATGGGCCGAAGGAGCAAGGATGCAAGGGCAACCTGGGGAAGTTGCTCATCCTTACTACGCGGTCTGACTGTAGGCTGACTGTACACGTCGCTCATTTCAAGTCGTGCTCATTTCTAATTCTGCTCGTTTCTAATTATTCCCGGCCCCCCAGCGGCCAGGAAGAGGCCCAGGATAGAACAATTAGAAATTATCCCAGTGCGACCCTACCTAGGAGTTGGAGCATTTAGGACAGCGCTATCTACATCTACACCGGCAGCTACATTTACATATACACCTGCATAGGTGCTATGCTATGCTGTGCTATGATATGCTATACTGTGCTATGCTGCGCTATGTTATGCTATGATATGATACGGTATGTTATGAGATACTGCGCTATGCTATGCTATGATATACTATGCTATGATGTGCTATGATATGATGTGATGTCCTGCGCTATGATAAGCAATGATATGATATGATATGATGTGCTATGATATGATATGCTATGCTGCGCTATGCTATGATATGTTATGCTATGTTATGTTGTTATATGCTGAGCTATGCTATGCTATGTTATGATATGATTGGCTATGCTATGCTATGCTATGCTGTGCGAATGCTGCGCTGCGCCATGCTGCGCTAAGCTAAGCTAAGGTAAGCTAAGCTATGCTAAGTTAAGCTAAGCTACGATAAGCTAAGCCAGGCTAGGCTAAGCTAAGCTAAGCTTAGCTTAGCTAAGCTAAGCTTAGCTAAGCTAAGCTAAGATGAGATAAGATAAGCTAAGCTAAGTTAAGCTAAGCTAAGCTAAGCTAAAATGAAATAAGCTACGCCAAGCTTAGCTTAGCTTAGCTCAGCTTAGCTTAAGCTTAGCTAAGCTTAGCTAAGCTAAGCTGGGTGAACCCAGGGGGCGTAACTGGGGGAACCGCGGGGCGGATCCTGGGGGAACCGCCCAGGGCGAGCCCCACTGCCCGGCCCCTTTAACATAGAGAGTAAAAACCCTTCTAGGCAGAGCCTAGGTAGGGAATGAAAGGGTCTTGGCCCCAAAAAAAATCAAAGAACTCTCGAAGAATTAGACATGAACAATGTGTGTAGGTCTGACTGTAGGACGAGGACCGCCGAGCAGCCCCGGCGGCCCTCGCGGGGCTTTCGGCCCCGCCCGGCAGCCAGGCCGCCCGGGGCCTCCAGCGCGGCCGTGCCCGCCGCGAGCGCCGGCAGCTGCCCGCCGCCCTGCGGCGGCGGCCCCGCCGCCGCGCCCGAGGTGAAGTACATGGGCTCCTCGGAGGCGGCGGCGGCGACCCTCCTCCTCCTCCCTCCTCCTCCTCCTCCTCTCCTCCTCCCCATCCTCCTCCTCCTCCTCCTCCTCCTCCTCCTCCTCCTCCTGCTTCCTCCTCCTCCCTCCTCCTCCCTCTCCCTCCTCCTCCTCCTCCTCCTCCTCCTTCTCCTCCCTCCTCCTCCTCCTCCTCCTCCCTCCTCCTCCTCCCTCCTGCTCCTCCTCCTCCTCCTCCTCCTCCTCCTCCTCCTCCTCCTCCTCCTCCTCCTCCTCCTCCTCCTCCTCCTCCTCTTCCTCCTCCTCCACCTCGCGTCATGAAAAAATGACGACGGACAGCGCTTCATGTCTCAGCCTCTGAGGGGGCCCTCGCCGGGCCCCACACCCCTCCTCGAGAGAAAGCGCAAATTGCTCCCGCGACGCGGCTGCGCCCCAGGACCTCCAACTTCCGCTGTTCGCGCAGAAATTGACGACTGCAAACACACAAAATCTGACCCCGCGAGCCGCGTTGGGCGCGTCGATCAGCGTTAAAAACTTGCGTTTGATTTCGAGGAGGGTTGCAGGACCGTCCAAAAACGACTCAGGATGAAAAACCAGTCCCAGGGAATGGGTCGAGAACTCCTGGGTTCGACGCTGTGAGAAAATCATGACGTCGGGGGCTGGGTCCGACGATCTGATTTGTCCAATCGCAGCGATGTTCCTCCGCCTCGGCCCTGGTGGGCCGCTCTTTGGGGCCAGGGGCCATCCGAGACAGATTCTGGACGCAAGACTGCCCCTTGGAAGGGGTCGGGAGCTCTGGGACTGGCGAAGAGCCCACCCCTCAGGACGCTTGGAACTATCAACAGGGCCGCTCAACACACGAGAACTCGCTGGGGACCACGCTCGGCACGCACTCCCGCGACTCGAATCACATACGCGAAGGTGGCGATGTATGCGGGGCGGCACCATGTGATACCCATTCACCAGGGCCTTCGGTGGAGCTCTCCGTGGGGCCACGAAACGTGTAAGGGGTCTGCCGAAGTGGGCCGGGTCACCGTGCGAACCCAGCCACTGGTGCCTTGGGTGGAGCTCCCCTGTGGGGCCACGAAACGCGTTATGGGTGAGCCAAAACGAGGCGGGGCAGCATGTGAACCCAGCCACTGGGGCCTTCAGTGGAGCTCCATATTGTGCCACGAGGCGTGCCAAGGGTGTGACGAAATCGGGCGGGGCAGCATGTGAACCCAGCCTCCGTGGCCTTCGGTGCAGCTCGGGCCACGGGTCTGCCGGAAGGGGACGGGGCACCATATGAACCCAGCCATTGGAGTCTTCGGCAGAGCTCCCTGTGGAGCCACGAAGCGTGAGAGGGGTCTGCCGAGATGTGGAGCTCCCTGTAGGGCCAGGAAGCGTGTGAGGGATCTGCCAAAATAGGGCGGGGCACCACATGAACCCAACCACACGGGCCCTCGGTGGAGCTCCCCGCGGGGCCGAAGTCTGCCGAAGTGGGGTGCGGGGTGCGATATCATGTGAACCCAGCTTCTGAGGCCTTCGGCGGAGCTCTCCATGGGGCCACGAGACGTGTGAGGGGTGTACCGGCATAGGGCGGGTCACCATGTGAACCCAGCCACTGGGGCTCGGTGTAGAGCTCCCTGAGGGGCCACGAAACGTGTGAAGGGTCTGTCAGAATGGGGCGGGGCAGCATGGACACACGAAACGTGTGAGGGGTGCGCCGAGATGAGAAGGAGGATGATATTGAGAAGGAGAATGAGAATGACGATGGCACTGATGATGATGATGATGGTGATGATGATGATGATGATGATGATGATGATGATGATGATGATGATGATACGAATGATGATTATGATGATGATGATGATGATGATGATGATGATGATGATGATGATGATGATGATGATTATGATGATGATAATGATGATGATGCTGATGATGATGGTGATGGTGATGGTAGACGATGATGATGGTGATGATGTTGCTGATCAATATGATGATGGTGATGATGATGATGATGGTGACAATGCAGATGATGATGGTGGAGATTATGATGCTGATGATGCTGATAATGATGGTAAGTACGATGATGATGCTGGTGATGATGATGGTAATGATGGAAATAATGGTTATGATGGTGATGACGATGCTAATGATGATGATGATGATGATGATGATGGTGGTGACTGTGGTGATGGTGATGGCAATGGTGGCGGCGTTGGTGATGATGGTGGTAATGGTGGTGACGATGATGGTCGTGATGATAATGGCGATGGTGATGATGACGATGATGATGATGGTGGTTATGGTAATGATGGTGATGGTGATTACGATGTTGATGATGATAATGGTCATGATGATGACGCGGATGATGCGGATGATGATGCTGATAATGATCATGAGCATGATGATCCTCCTCCTCCTTTTCCTCCTCATCCTCCTCCTCCTTCTCTTCCTCCTCCTCCTCCTTCTCCTCCTCCTGCTCTTCCTCTGCCTTAGCTTCCTCTTCCTCTGCTCCTCATAATAATCCTCCTCCTCCTCGTCCTTCTCTTCCTCTTCGTCCTCCTCCTCATCATCATTCTCGTCCATCGTTCCTCCCTCTTCTCCCCCTACCCCTCGTCGGCCTACAAGGGGGCACATGGGCTCCTCGGAGACGATCTTCACTACCTTCTCAGCGGGGGGGAGGGCGGGAAGGAGGGGAGGGAAGAAAGAGGGGGAGGGGGAAGCGAACGGGGAGAGAGGGGGGGAGAAGGGGAGGGGCACGGAGAGGGGTGAAGGGGGGAAGGGGGATATGACCTGGGGAGTGGGGGGAAGGGGAAGGGAAGGGGAAAGGGAAAGGGAAAGGAAAAGGAAAAGGGAAAGGAAAAGGAAAAGGAAAAGGAAAAGGAAAAGGAAAAGGGCAAGGGAAAGAGAAAGGAAAAAGAAAAGCAAAGGGGAAAGGGAAAGGGAAAGGGAAATGGAAAGCGAAAGGGAAAGGGAAAGGGAAAGGGAAAGGGAAAGGCAAAGGGGAACGAAAGGGAAAGGGAAAGGGAAAGAGAAAGGGAAAGGGAAAGGGGGAGGGAAAGGAACAGGGAAAAGGGAAAGAGGAAGGAGAAGAGAAAGGGAGAGATGCGCACCACTTCGGACGAGGGTTCGTCAAGGCCTCAAGGCTACAAGCGCCCTGCAGGCCGACCAAGGGTGGTGGGATGACCTCCCCCTGGCGCGGCCTGTGAGGGCCCCTGCTGGACGGCAAAGCGGGTCTGCGTTGATCCGGCGGCTCAAAGGCCCGTCTGCGCACCCATGGCTGCAGCGCCGCCCTTTGCACGCGCGCTGGCATGCGCGATGCGGCACATTGAGAAAGTGAATGGCGCCGCCTTGAGGCATCCCCCACAGCGGCCCGGGAACACTGGCAGCGGAACAGTTGGCACATGCTTACACGGCGCATGCGGGCAGAGGCACACGGCACCACACCACGGGGGGGCGCAAGGGATACACCCTCTGCGGGGGCCGAGTGCGGGAAAAGTGAGATGGCCGCACTGCCAAGGTAGCAGGGCCCCTGGGTAAGCCAGGGGCCCTCACGTGACGATGCGAGCCTCGGACCGCGAGGCAGGTCCCGACCTGCACAGGTGCTCGCCTGGCGGCGCGCACCTGAGGGGCAAAGGAAGCAGCAGCGGCGCCAAGGGGCAGCATGAGCCTGGGGTTGGTGCTTCCAGGAGGCGGTCGGGCGCCAGTCCCGCTGGTGCACGTCGGGCCGCCGGTGCTCCCAGTCGTGCTGCTCGGCGATGCGCTGCTGGTACTCGCCAGTGTGGTCAGCGGCGTGCTGCTCTACGTTGAGATGGCAGTACCCGCCGCACAACTCAGCGACGCGGTCAGTGTTCGTCCTGCTGGCGCACGTCGGGGACAAGGTGGTGCGCGCCGGCGCGCTGCTCAACGGTGCGCTGGAGGTACCCATCATGGTGGTCTGCGACGTAGTACTCAAGCCCACTCGTGGACATGAGGATCCAGCTGCTGTTCCCCGACGTGCTGCAGAACGTCGAAGTGCTGTTTCCCGTCGTGCTCTTCCGCGACGTGGTACTCGATGCAATAATCATCCCGCACATGGACGTCATGGACAAGCTGCTGCTCCCACCCGTGCTGCTCAACGGTGTGCAGCTGGTACCCGTCGTGGGGGTCAGCGACATGGCACTCGAGACAGTACTCGTCCCGATCGTGGACGTCAGGGTGGAGCTGCTGATCTCCGACGTACTGCTGCTCAGCGTCGAGATGTTAATATCCGTCGTGTTGCTCAGCAACGTGGTACTCGCGGCAACGCACGTCCCGCTAGTGCACGTCAGGGCGTTGGCGTTCCTAGTCGCGCTGCTCAACGACGCGTTGCCCGCACCCACCGCGGTGGTCGGCGACGTGCTGCTCGACGTCGAGGTGCTTGTGCCCGTCGCACAGCTCAACGACGTGGTACTCGAGGCAGCGCTCGTCCCGCTGGCGCGCGCCAGGGTCAAGCTGTTGCTCCCCGACGCGCTGCCCAACGATAAGTTGCTGGTACCCGTCGTGGTCGCCAGCGGCGTGATACACGAGGTGGTGCTCTTCCCACTGGTGCCCGTCAAGGCCAAGCAGGTGTGTTCCGACGTGCTGCGCAACGGTGCTCTGCTGGTGCCCGTCGCGTTGCTCAGCGGCGTGGTACTCGAGGCAGTGTTCGCCCTGGAGCGCGTCATGGTCGAGCTGGCGTTATGCGACGTGCTGGGCGAAGCCCGCATCCCACCCCAGTGGGCCAATGGGGCTCGTGGAAATAGGGCGAAGCTAGCATCCCACCCCCAGTGGGCAAATGCGGATCGTGGGAATAGGTCGATGCACGTATCCCACCCCACTGGGCCAATGCGGATCGTGGAGGCCAGGGAAACCAGGGAAACCAGGGGGTCCAGACAGGAGGCTGGAAAAGTCAGAGGGTCCAGACCAACCAGAACACCCGACTGCCCTCCCGACTCGAGGCACCAGGAGGGCAGTCCTCGAGGCGGTAATCGATGCAGTACTCAAGGCGGTGCTCGTCACACTCGCGGTCGTCAGAGTCGCGCTGCTGCTCCCAGTCTTGTTGCCCAACGATGCGCAGCTGGTGCCCGTCGTGGTGGCAAGCGACATGGCACTCGAGACCATAATCGTCCCACTCGTTCGCTCGGGGTCCGAGCGTATGCCCCCTGACGTGGTGTTAATGGTCGAGGCGCCAGTGCCTGCCGTGCAGCTCAGCGGCGTCTTATTCGAGGTAACGCGCGTCCCGCTGGCGCACGTCATGGCGCTGGCGCTCCCAGCCATGCTGCTCAATGGCGCGCTGCTGGCACCCGCGCTGGTGGTCAGCGGCGTGCTGCTCATCGTGGAGGTATGAGTAGCCGTCGTACAGCTCGGCGACGTGGTGCTCGAGGCAGTGCTGATCCTGCGGGCGCAGGTCAGGGACAGGGCGGTGCGCCCCGACGTGCCGGTCCTCGTCGGGCTGCCGGTGCCCGCCGGGCTGCCGGGCGACGGCGCAGTGTGCTCCTCTCGCCAGTGCACGCCATGTGTAGGGCTGCTGTTCGCCGGCGTGCTGCTCCGCGGTGCGCTGCTCGCCCTGGTCGTGCGGCCTAGCGGCGTGGTGCTCGAGGCAGTACTTGTCCCGCTGGTGGGCGTGAGAGCCGCGTCGCTGCTCTCCGCCGTGCTGCTCCAAGTGGGGGTGTCGGTACCCGTCTTCGTGAACAGCGACGCGGTAGGCGGGCCAGTACTCGTCCACCTCGTGGACGTCACGGTCAAGAGGCTGCTCTCAGGCACGCTGCTCAACGATGCACTGTTGGTACTCGTCGTGGTGGTTTGAAGCGTGGTACTCAGGGCAGTGGTCGTCCCACTCGTGGGCGTCAGGCTCGGGCTGTTGCTCTCCGAAGTGCTTCTCAACATCGAGATGCTTGTACCCGTCGTGCTGCACAGCGACGGGGTGCGTGAGGTAGTACGTGTACCGCTCGTGGGCGCCAGTGTCGGGCTGCTGTTCTTCGACGTGCTGCTCAACGTCAAGGTGCTCAGTGCCCGTCTTGCAGGTCAGCGACGCGATACTCCAGACAGTGCCCGTCCCGCTGGTGCACATCAGGGCGCTGGTGCTCCCAGTCGTGCTGCTCCGCGATGAGCTGGTGGCACTCGAGACAGTACTCGTCCCCCTGGTGCACGTCAGGGCAGAGCTGCTGCTCTCCAGCGTGCTGCTGCTCGTCGAGGTGCTGGTATCCGACTTGGTGGGCAGAGACGTGGCACTCGAGGCAGCACTCGTCCCAGTCGTGGGCGGCAGGGTCGAGCTGCTCTCCGAGGTGCTGCCCAGCACCGAGACAGTACCCCATGGTGCTCGCCTCCGCCCCGCCGGGCAGGGCGAGGCACCTGGCACTGCACGCGGTGCACTCGGACTTGGCGAGCTGGGCACGACCGTGAGGGCGAGGAGGGTACGGCGCTTGCTCGCCCGAATCAGGCTTGTGCATTCACGCACTGGAGTGGAGCTCCGCGGAGTGCGCAGAGAGGGGGAGAGAGAGAGAGAGGGGGAGGGAGAGAGAGAGAGAGGGAGGGGAAGGGAGAGAGAGAGAGAGGGTGTATGGTCATGTCCACGCGAAGGAAAGAGAGAGGGGGGGATGGAACAACGAAGTGCAGAGAGCGTGTATGTGTGTGTGTGTGTGCCAGAGAGACGGGGGCGGGTAGAGAGAGGGCGCTAGCGACTCTGGGACAAGGGCCACTGACGCCTTGAATACGCATTCCAACGATTAGTCTATCTGAGATGCTTAGGACCATGGTTGAAGTTACGCGGATATTGCTCTATTGGTGCGCTGCTATTGCCAGGCACTGATACCACCACGTACAAGCAATAATTCTTATATTCCCCAATCAGAGCTTGCCTCTGTAGGGGTCCTAGCGGATTCATATGGTTAGGATAGGTACGGCACCGACTTCGGCGGCACGCCCGGGTGCCCGGGTACCCGGGTGCCCGAGTGCCCAGGTGCCCGGGTGCCCGGAAGCCCTATAGCCTTATAGCCTTATAGTCTTATAGCCTTATAGCCCTATAGCCCTATAGTGTAACTATTTGTTTCACGGCCTCTGGTGTGAAGGAGGAGCTTTCTGATACGAAGAGCTACGGCAGGGTTGATAACGTAGTTGGGAGGGTGGGCAGGATGATGCAACAGATCGGTGTTCGAAACACTTTACTCTGAGCGGGTGGAAGGAATGATCGCACTGTGCAACTAAACATACTTGAAGCTAGTCTACTGTATTCCATATGCCATGCTCTACTCTAGTCTGCTCTCTGCTGTGCTATACGCTCCCGTGTGGATGCACACAAGGATATAGCAGCACTGGGAGCGATGCGGATACCTTCTTCGAGATACCCATAAACCTACCCATATGGATATGGGAGCGGCATGGGCATACGCATGGGGATTGGTAATAATACGAGATCCATCAGGACTGCGACATAATGCTACCGATGATGTGCAGGCCCACTTCATGGCACATTTAGCGATGGCGACAGAGGGCGCTGCAAGCAGCGCTTGCGCACGTCTGCTCTGTTGCTGATGATTCGGCTTTTTCCGGATCCGCCGACTTCCGCATGCCAGGAGTGGAAAGGCTTGTGAGATTGTTGGCTGTCCCCCTCCCAAACATATGTCAGCCCAACATGTTTGAAACCCATGTCGTCCTGCACGACATTCTAGCCCATACCTCGCCCTAGCAACTTCCATAGACTCCTCACTTCGCCTGGGGGTCGGCGCGATGACGTTAGCCTGGCGAGTCCCACCAGCCCTCTGGGCGTGAGTGGTTTTGTGAGCTTCCTATTCCCTCCGCCTTTCTTCCCCCTCGGGGAGGGGTTTATTACTGATCCCTATTAATCAGCACCCTCTCCCCCACCCGACCAGCAGCCAACCTGTACCCATGAGCCCCCCCCCCCAAAAAAAAACATCCGTCAAAAACCAAGCAAAATCAACTCTGCCTCCAAATCTGGAGCATGCGCGGGCGCCTTCCGACCATGTTGCATTGTTTTTTCCACAGGGTCGACGGGGGTGACGACATATTGCCTGCTTTGCAAATGCCAACACATCCCCACCGACCTTGTCAAAAAACAAAGCACAGTTTCCCCCTCGTGCGAAATCTACATGTTTCGACGCTCGTCGTTAGCATGACGAGCCAAACGACACGAGATCGCAAAGCAAATGGCCGCGGTGCGAATCAGAGAGTCACCAAGCAAACTCGGAACGACGCACAAGCCGACCTGCAATATGCAAACTCGTGCAGAGAACCTTGACCAGGGAGAGACAAATGAGAAACCAGCAGAAAGACTCCAAGAGTCACCCGTGACAATTATTGCCCAGGCAATTGCCGTACAGAGGAGAGAAGGAGGAGGAGGAGGAGGAGGAGGAGGAGGAGGAGGAGGAGAAGGAGGAGAGAGGAGGAAAGAGAAGGAGCAATCCGATACAATTGGAGCAACGCTCAGGCCAACCTGCCACAGGCGAGCCGTTGCGCGCAACCAGTGCGCAGAAATCAAAATTTACACAACAGAGCCCGAGCTCCGTGAACGACCACGTAATCTTCAAAGCCAGACGAAAGGACTGCAAGAGGTAAACCATCAACAGCGTCCCCTAACAGCGGCCAGGCACAAACGTGCAGCAAACTTGAATCGGAAGCACCCATGAGACGACAGGCGGAGAGACAAACGACCGGAAGGGAGGATAGAGCTCAACTGGGCACCCAAACTGCGGCCACACTGGCCGCGAGTCCAGGATGCGCTCAGGCGAATTGATCCAAAGAGGCGTGCGCGTCTGAAGCCTGGCTGCACCGCGCCGCGTTTGCGGCGGAACGTACGCAATACGGCGCCAGCGCCCTGCGTGCAGGAACACTCACCGTGGCAACGCGGAACGAAGGGTGGAGCAGGAGGAAGGAGGAAAGGCGCCCCGAGCGTGCGGGCTGCACTGAGTCGCAGCCGGGAACGGCACATAGGCACGCCACTCGCGGAGAGATTGCGCAGTGCGCCATCCTGCCCTCGCCAGCCCCGCAAGCAGAACGGCGGGCGGGCTGTGCCTCGCTGTCGGCGTCGGCCGGTAACCCAGCCGTCCTGGAGCATCCTGCACACGGCGGCCAACACTCCGGGGGGGGGGCACTGGCCGCGCGAGGTTCCGAGCAGGGTTGCCCTGGTCCGTACAGGCCGGAAGCCAGGAAGTGCATCAGGGAGGCGGGGGGGGCGGGCGGAGCAAGCCAAAGAGCGAGAGAGAGGCAGGCAAACGCTGCAAGGGCTACGAACGTGGAGAACAGCGGCTCATCTGCGCTGCCAGCGGGCGTTCGGGCGCGCATCTGTCAGAAAACATTGCAGCGCACACGTTGCGGCAGAATCTCGACTCATGCTCGGGGGGGGCGTGAGCACTTTGTCTTGTTTTTGTTCACAGGGACGGCGGGGGGGCCAGCACACGGCCTGCTGCGCGCAGGGCCACCATCCCTGTCAGTGCGCAGGCTGCACTTCAAGTCTAAATCTGGATCATGCGCGGGCACCCCGCGATCACATTGCATTGGTTTTTGACAAGGACGACGGGGGTGCTGGCACGTTGCCTGCTGTGCGCAAGCCCACCAGACATCATGATGGCCATTTGCCGCGATTGCTCATTGGCTTTCGACAAGGATGATGGAGGCCGACATGTCTCCCAATGTGCGCGGGTGCACCTGGCACACTCTGCGCGTGCCCCGAACGTGGCGAACCTGACGCGGCTGGAGCATGAGGCTCAATTGGCGCACGTGAAGCGCGTGGCACATCTGGCGCACCAGGCGTACCTGGAACGCTTGGGCCGCAGGCTGCAGGGGCGCCTGCCGCGCATGGTGCGCGTGGCGCGCCTGGTGCGCGTGGCGCGCCTGGCCCTGGCACGCGTGGCGCACCTCGCCACAGTGTCGCGCACCTTGGGTCTATTTTGCTTCGCAGTAGCTGCCCATCGAAAGACGACCGCTGAATATAATGAGGCTCGGGTGCGACTGATGTGTTGGGAGGGCGGGTGGGAGTGAGCCAAACATCTTGCGTCTGGGAGAACTGTGGATTGCTCACTGTTCCCTATTAATATACACCCCCTCCCCCAGGCGGCCGTCAGCCAACCAGGAAGAATGAGGACCCTATGAGGATCCCCCCCAAAACCATACCTGCCAACAAACAATACGAACACAAAATCTTCCTCCTAATTCGGAGCATGCGCAACCAACCCGATGTGGGCTCCCCCCCACCATCCCGATCAACAGAAACAATACAGCATACACTTTGGGGCAAAGCCTGGTATTGTTTTTTGGCATGGACTGCGGGGATGTCAGCATGTTGCCTGCTACGCGCAGGGCCGCCATCCCTGACAAAAAAATATACAACATGCACCTCGCGGATAAATCTGGACCATGCGCGGCCACCACGCGACCACTGCCAAATGGATTTTGACAGGGACGGCGAGGGTGGTGGCATATGGCCTGCTGTGCGCAGGCCCACCAGACACAATGATGGGCATCGGTTTTCGACAAGGATGGTGGGGCCGACATGTTTCCCGATGTGTGCTGTCATGTGCGCAGGCGCGCCTGACACACTCTGCACGTGCCCCGAACGTGGGGCAACTGGCGCGGCTGCAATATGCGGCACACCTGGCGCACGCGAAGGCACGTGACGCACCTGGCGCACCAGGCGTGCCTGGCACGCTCGGGCCCCAGGGGTGCCTGGCGCGCGTGGCGCGCCTGGCACGCGTGGCGCACCTCGCGACAGCGTCGCGCACATGGGCTCGGTTTTGGTTTCCAGTAGCTGTCCATCCAAAGGAACTGCTGAACATGCTGAGCCTCGGGTGTTACTTATGTGTTGGGAGGGCGGGTGGGAGTAAGCTAGACCGCTTGCTATCTAGGAGGGTAGCTTGGCCTCTCCCCCAAGCCCCCTCCCCTGGACCTGGACGGGGGGGCGACCCATTGGACCGTCCAAGATGGCCTCAGAGAGGGAGAAAAATCCGTGATTCTCCAAAAAGCTTTGCGCCAATGTGGGCCTCCTGGGGGGGAGGGGGGGGGGGGGGGAATATCAAGCACCCCCCCTTCTTTGATCGAGCTCCAAAATGGCCCTAAGATGGCCCCCAAGGGTGCCTCAAGAGGCGCCCAGGAGGCCACCAGAGGCCCACAACAAACCACCTAAGATACCCCAAGAGGATCTTTGGAGGCACCGCAGACGCTCCAAGAGACCCCCGCGACCGCCAAGGGGCCCCCAAGACAGCCCAATAGGACTCCGAGGAACTCACACAGACATCCGAAGAGACTCCGAGATGCATCCAAGAGGCCTCTGGCCTTTCTGCTCGCATTCGTCTCCTCCCTCCTCCCTCTAACCCTCCCCCTCCGGCCCTCCGCCTCCTCCGCCTTCTCCTCCTCCTCCTCCTCCTCCTCCTCCTCCTCCTCCTCCTCCTCCT